CGAACAGATGTGTATAGGGAGGAAGCGGAGGGGAGCTGGGGGAGTGGAGAAAGGATGACTTTCCTCTGATGTCAAAAATCCCATCATTCAGTGCTCGCAGGGAAAAAGACAAGAGGAGAAGAATGTGGAGAGCGAGAGAGAGAAGAAATGAAGGGAAGGGACACTTTCCTTTTTCTCCCTAATTCTGTAGGCTAATGTTGTCCACCCTAATAGGATGCAGAAATGGGCCTGATCCCGAGTGCCAAGTTCTGAGCAGCCTTCCAAACCCGGGGGATTGTTCACATTCACATCCTGCTCTGGACTTGGTTAGTACTGTCTTGATATGAATAATCAGGTAGATGAAAATTGACAAGAAACTTACTGCAGTTTCCTCCAGGTTCTCTTTGCGTTATCTTTTATTTCTGGCAATTTTAATTTTCTGGTCGTTGTCTGTGTTTGTCAGAGGCATTAGATATCCAGCCCTCCTAGGGCTTCGGCAGCGTTGTGAGAAAGGACCAGAGCTAGCTGTAAACGAATTAGATTGAGTACCAGACGGAGGAGAGCTGTAGTTGCCTGGAGCTCTGTCCAGGTTACTAATTCTTGCTTCCGAGGGGCTGATTTCAAAAGGTGTGCTGGATTTGTCCTTCGTGCATTTCTCTGCGTGCTGTTGCCTGTAATTAGTTTTTGAACTGAAAAAGCTTTCTCAACTAGGAGGAAAAAAAAAACCAAAAAACAACCCCACACATTTTTGGCAATGGGTTGTTTTTCTAAGCAACTAATTAAGTGCTGATTTTAAAAGAATTTGAATCCTTCTTCCACTCTGTGTCAAACATGGATTTTGTATTAATCACTTCACTACTCTCTGACTGAATAAGGACTGAAAAAGATGCATAGAGTAAAAATTTCCTCAGGAAATGAATCAGACAAGGAGCCTATGCCTCATCTCGCCTCCTACAAATGAAGAAAGAGAGGATTTTGTCAATGGTGGGTCAGTTTACAAATGTGTCCTTTTCAGTGTGAGTCATAAGCAGTGATACATTTCACAGCAATGCAACCACAGATGCGGTTTAAATCCAGGACCGAATGCCAGCTAAAGATAAATAGAGAAATGAATCCTCATGCCTGTAATAGTAATGAGAATTAAAATGCTACCTGTCAGACCAGCTTGTATGTCAGCCAGCTCTTGCTGCTCTTTAAAGCAGTGTCAGAATTCTTGTTCACTTAAACGGGAGCAGAATAATCCCTCAGGAGCTGGTCTTGTGATTTCCTAGTGCTGATAAGCAAGGAAAGGATGTGGATTTTGACAAGATGGAGCCCGTAGAGTACCTGCCCTGCCTTGAGTATGTTCAGCTTACTTCACTGGAGTCTTAAGGAGAGGGGAACGTGTTTCTGCCGAGTCCGGTCTTCAGTCAAGTTTGACTGCTCTTGGGTGGGCCCTGGTGGAGGGGAGGCGATAAAGGAGTTGGGGGCAGGTGGGAAGCAGTGCTGTCTCTGGTGCTGCCTGAAAATGTTACCGCTTCTGAGATTTCCAAAATGCTGGCCAATTATATATTTTTTTCAAAAGTGCCAGCCTTTGTTAGCATTGCAGCTGTTAAGAGCCGTTTAAAACCTGTTATTTTGAAACTACCATCAAGACCTGTTGTTCTTTTGGTTGTGGCTGAGACAATGAAATTTAGCAGAAAAAGTGAGCTGCGGTATAGAAATTTTAATAGTTTTCACTGGTGCTGCTTTCCCCAGTGTTTCTTGAGACTAACCCTTCTAAACGTGTTAGTGTTCATATTTTTGGTTTTCTTTACTGAGTTTCCTGTAGTCATCTCTAGATTGCCAAACTTTTAAAAATGTTAGGCAAGAGATCAGACATGGATCAGATATTCAGTTGGTCCACTAAAGTCTAAAGTTAATGACGCTATCGCAGTTTGTTTCAGGCCAAGATCCATCCATTGGTGTCCTGAAATGTGGTAAGATAAGAGCTGCTGTATCTCAGCTGTTGTTTGCTAAGGGTAACAGCCATCCTAGGAAGGATCTTTATATTAAACGAGTTCATAGGCACAGATTGTCATATGTTTGTTTATTGTTATGTGCACAGCCTTTCAGTCTACAAGCTCACAGATGAATTTAGTTTGCCAATAGCAGCATGTTCCTTTGTGAAATGGCAATTGTGGGGCAGCACCGAAAGGTTTGGAACGGGAAGGAAAATGGCAGACCTGGGGTCAAATTCAGATGTTCTAAGTCACTGGCCATCACTTTCAACTATGAGAGCAGTCGTCTTCTCTTTAGGGTTAAAGATTTCCTCTTGCAAAAAGAGCCAGAGGCTCTTGATTATCCATGCAAAACAGGCTAGGGCTTTGATTTGTAAGGTTTTGTCTGACACACTTTTAACTGGATGAAGCTCAATTGAGATTCCAAAAGAAAATCTAAATTTGATGGTTGAGACACATACCCACTTTTCTCTCTTATCCTGAGGCACCATTCTCCACCCTTCCCCTTTTCTCCTCAAAAAATGATACCGCCTAATGCTTTGAACCAAGAAAGCATATTTCAAGATCATTGTGGAACAATTAAACCAATGATCTGTACGCTTCAAGGAGAAAACTGAGCTGCAGTAGCTCTGCTTTGACAGGTCTTTGGAGGATTTCAAGGAAGTTACACCCACTTCATTCATGATAATCGGCTGTTTAATGCAGAGCAGCTCAGTGTTATGAATGAAAGAGAGCATGTTTTGGCTTGCAGAACAACTCACAAATCTAATGCTTCACTCGTCAAATAACCAGCCACATCAAAAAAAAAAAAAAAATCTGACTTCATTCTTGAAATGAAATTAATGAATGCAGGATTCCTTGAAAAAAATAAAAATAAAACTGTTTCTTTAGAGATCCAGAAATGTTTTCCCCCTCCTTACTGTTCTTTGTGAGTCACTGTGGCTGGACAAGTTGGAGGAAAAACCACAGCCTCTGAAATGGCTTTGGTGCAGCTAAAATCAGGTCTTGGTGGGTTTTGTGCATTAGATCACAACATGCGGAACTGCTGGATTTCGTAGCCTGGTGGCAACGCAGAAAGAAAGAAAATGTTAGGGATAGTATATAGATCTAGCAAAATACCAGATTTTCCTTTGATGTAGGGGCTCTCTGAGAAACCATGGGTTGCATGCTATACCTAAGTAGTCTGCTTACCCTGCTGATTAGAAATATACTGTTTTTTTATTTTTATTTATTTATTTGGTAATTGATCCTGGCTTTGGGGAATACCGCAGTTTTCCCAGCTATCAAGTGGCTGCTGGAACTGCCCTGTACCAGGTGCTTTCATGCCTTCCGGCAATGCCAGGTTTGTAGAGACTCTAGAGAGCCTTGAATGCTAGTAGGACTCCTGGGAGGTCGTTGTAGACAAAGGTAGTTTTGGGTATCTCAAATTAAAGGGAGAAGTGAAGATAGTTTAAGGCTCTCTTTTTACCCACCCCTTATTCCCAGTTCATTTGGTAATAATAAAATGGCTTTCAGAAGGTGCAGAGAGCACAGTCTTCCTTCTGTCTCTTTTACCAGGCAGTTCTTTGCCTGTGCCTGGGCAGGAAGGAGCACAAATGCTTTGATCAAATGATACCCACAAGTGAATGCAAAAAGTTTGAGTTGAAACTGAATTGAATGTTTATTAATTGTACTTTTGGAAGAAATGTGTATAATCATTTCCTTTTTTTTTTTTTTTGGTTGGTTCTCATCTGGGTTTGGGATAAAACTGCCAAAAATAACGTTTATCTTTTTTTAACAGTATTTTGCAAGGCATTAATTGTTTGCACTATTTTTCTTCTGAAGGGGACATGCCATCACGTTTATCTGAGAAAAACGTGCTGAAATAGGTTGATTTAGTGATTTTACCAAGAATGAGTAAAAACTGGGATTAAGTATCTCATCCAAAAACCATTATAGGAGATCTGTCTTGTGATTCAAAGATCATCAAAACATCTCTCTCCATCTTACTGCTTAGGTAGTTTCCAGGTCCATAATATTCAATCAACCCACAGTGCAGCATCCCCATGAGCTAGAGCAGTATTTTCTGTCTTGTCGTAACAGATGGGAAACTGATCCACTGGAAGAATATATGGCTTGCCCAAAATCTCACAGAAAGTCTGTAGCAGAGGTCGTTTGACCTGGATAGTCTTTGGATCCGTTTAACTTGAAGCTTCCAGTTTATGGTCCTGTGTCGTAGTAATAATCCGTAACGCTATCAAAAATCAACAGCAGTAGAAAACAACAGCCAAGTGTGGAGTAGCCTATAAATTAAGGCCTAGGTTACTCGCACTTCAATGTTAATTGGGAGAATAAATCATGATTTTCCAAGGAGAGCAAGTCTGGCAGAGTGTAAGGTCCCTTTGGATGTCTTCTGTGCTGTTATTGCTGTATCATATGGACAGAGATGTTGAGAGACCCCCTTTGCTTCTGCAAAAATCCCAGAAAATGATGAGAGAACAAGCAGGAATCGAACTGACTTTTAACTATCTGTGCAGAGCGAGAGGCGGTGAAGGTGCGATTCAGCTCTATGTCACGGAATCATGGGAGAACTGTGCATCCCTTAGTACTCATATTGATGCTTAAATTGAGCCTTATGCATGTGTTTCTGGAACTTACCTCTCTGAAAGAGCGCGTTTTACTGAAAGGAAGCTAACCAAAGTCAATTGGAGAAAAGCCAATCCCACGTGAAGTTCTTCAGTCTTTGTTCAGCAGTTTGAGACCCTCTGATGGAAGGTGGGAAGACAATTTTTCTGATCCTTCCTGCACCAAAATAATTCCTAGAACTCTATTTGCTAAAGCCAGGATCTGGCTTGAGCACTTTCCACTCAGCAGTGTAGAGAATGGCAGGTTGGCCATCATCCCCTGCCCTGTGCCCTCCAGGGGGGAGAAGGCCGCAGGCAGAGAGCGAGGCAAAGGTGGGTTGGATGGTGTCTGGAAAGAAAGTGAAAGGGTGGGGAATCACTCTGACTGCTATGTGCAATAAACTAATGTCCTTCTTTCTTCTTCCTTTTCCTGCTCTAGAGAACTGCATTTGGGGAAATCAAGAACTGAATACGTTCCTTTTTTATTTCTGCTCATTTTCAGGGTGAGTAAATTCTCTTGTCTTTACTACTGCTGTGATAGCCTGAGCAGCTAAGAAGCGTAACTTAAGGTTCTTTTTTTTTTTTTTTTAATCATTTCACTGATAACTGTGCTTAATTTAGCGGCAGTGAGGCAGAACATTTGGATTTTGTCATCCATTTCCAAAACTATTGTTGGCTTCTTATTTCTTTGTTCCCCTTACTGCTCATTTTAGATTTACATTTTATGGTAGGTGCCAAAAGATAAGTTAATGCCAACTTGATGATTAATTAGCTAATACTTGCCTCTGCCCAAAGATGGAAAGCCTTTATCTAAGTAACCTATTAACTATTACTTTATTTATTACTGCATGGGTACATTTTAATGGATTTGAATTCTGCCTTCCTGAGAAATTTGGGCAAGAATTTATCGTAACACAAAGAAATAGAGCCAAAGGAAACTTACACTGGGTATCAGGAAGTAAGTCTTAATATTGGGATCAGGGTACCTACTTATCTATATTTTGCAAGCCCGAGGCAAAATCACAGTCTCGTTATCAGAAGTGACTGGGAATATGCAGTTCTTAGGCTTTTTGACATACTCAGAAATGCAAAAGTCAGTAATGGCTTGATTTTCAGGAAGCTCTGAGAACTGATTCTATTTAAAAAGCAATCAAACCAGGCCTTCTCTAAGGTATCTCAACCTAGCTGCCCAAGCTGAGAAGGACTTTGTGAAAAAGCAAGTCTGGGAGACTTTCTGCCTTCCTGGCCCATGTCGCTAAGGTGCGTGATGCATCTCTGCAAAAGCTACCAAGAGCCTTTGCACTGGTGGTGCTAGTACACATCCTTTCTTCCATGAGCGGGAACTGGCTGCAGGCATCTAATCTCCCGTTAGTGTCTTTCCAGCAGGAGCTTTGGAGTTCCAGAGGGCGTGCAGAGTGGCCTCCTATTGAGGTAACCATAATTCAAGGTGCCAGAAATACACGGCATTAATACATGGCCATAGATGTGAATAGGTTTAATTGAATAAATGAAGGGAAAGGAAGAAAACTGGATTGAACAATGATAGTAAATGTATCGGTGGTGAGAATGGTTACCTCATTCTCTTGAAATTATGATTAGGCACTAGGAGTGAGGTAACTGTGTACTTTATGGCACTTCGGAGAATCTCACCTACAGGCTAAAATTAATGCTATGGATATGAGAGTAGAGCTGGTGCCTTATTATACGCACCAGGTAAAATTCCCGCCATGAGGAAATGGTAGGGCACCATTTAATAGCTAGTGCTTAAGACATATATGAGCACTGTTCATTAAAGTGAATTGATCCAGTCAGCCCATTTGTAAAGGCCTTGGCCACTGGAAATTCACCTCTTTGTACTGAGATTCATCTCCTTCTACTTCTCTACTAATGCATGTTCTAAAAGATGTAACACATGTCTAACTGATGTCCCCAAGTGCTATTGCAGATTAAATATTGAATGCACATATGCCTACTGAATAACACATATGGATGTAGATAGCATGATAGTATGGCTTGTGAACTGATGAATAATGTGCGTGTGCATGTGTATATAACGAGCATACCAGCTTTGTTCTGCTGCTGTTGAATTCTGGGGCCGAATGCCTTTTGGTTTTTGTAAGCTCCATGCAAGAACATTTTGACACTTGTTGATCTGTTGAATTTGTTGGCACCTAGATTAAAAGTGTACCCATTTTTCAGAAGTTTTATAACTACCCTTGACTTCAATGGGATTAATATGTTCCTGGATTTTGTGAATAATGGGCTATTCTTAACGGGGAGGGAGGAGGGGAGGTCAGTGGTAAAGTCAGAAGGTTAAGGAAGAAAAATCCTTTTATTTTTTTCCTCAAAAGGGAACTTCTTACCACAACACCATTTTTTCCTCATGTTTAACATAACAAGTTCCAGTTTAGCCTGAGCTTTTGCAAGTCAAATTGCACAACTTGAAAGACTGGGTTTAATAAGCTGAAGGAGGAGTAGGCCGCAGCAAGCAGTCACAGTATCATCTTTTCATCAAGCGGCTCAGGCGTTAGTGCAGTCACCTCAGATATGGGACACCCAGGTTCGATTACCTCCTCTCCCTTTAGGAAATTTGAACCTGCGTCCACCTTTCAGGAATGCGTGCTGAACTCCAGCCTATGAGACATTCTCTTAGCGCTGTTCCGCTTTGCATGAATAAATAAATACTGACTGAAGCAAGGTCGCCAAGCAGGTAGTCACCTAGCTACTTCTTGAACTGGCTATTTGAACTAGCTATTTCATGAGAGAATCATTTTATTTCAGTGACTATTTATATTGCGATCACTGCTTTGAGGCGTTTGAGGCTGAAGCTGAAGGGAAGCCATGATGTTTTGTAGGAGCCTGTTTCTTGCAGACCAGTCTCTGCTTATGAACGTTGAGATAACTGCAGAAAGAAGTTTAAAAAAAAAAAAAAAGGTTACTCTCCAGGATAGAGCGGAAATAGGAAGAAGGTGTTCAAAAAAACAATCTGGTTTAGGAAGATGAATTAGCTGTATCTTGCATTAACATAGCTGCTTTGTATTAAGTGCTTTCACTCATAAAATACCGTAACTGTGCTTTCTCTGTTTAAAGTTGAACAATTTAAATACTGTATATGAAAATATTGGGGAGTTGGCTGAAACTTGTAAGCCTTTTCCTGTGCCAGTAGCGGGTGAGTGGGGCAGCAGTGCCTGGGAGAGATTTTCCACTGAGATTGCCCAAGAAAGTTACTGCGCTGCTTTGCAGGAAGAAACATCTCTGTTAGCGTGCATTAGTCCTCTTGCATGAAATGCCGGTGCCTCTCTGGTGATATTATTTGGCCATGTTTGTAATTCACAGTGGATTGAACCATGCTGTTGCGGGGAAAGGAAGGGGGTTAATCAAAGAAAGCAAGCCCTGAGGGACAATTGCTAAGGTCTCTGCTTCCTCAGAGCATCACGATAACCTGAGCCTTGCTAAAAGGTGAGGGCTAAGGCAGCCTGTCTGCCCCTCTCTTAAGGGGAACCCCTGGGCCACAGGTGAGGCTTAGTCAATATATTGCACCCCAAGGAGGCTTTTCTGTTTTTGGAAGGATCTTTGAACAGAGGGAGGAGGTGGTGATAGTAGCTTTGGGTCCTACTGAATTCATTTCTAGGCCCATACGCTTTCCTAGGGAACTGCTCTTTTGTGGGGACCTATGCTCTTTCCTAAGGTCTATGATTTTTCCTAGAGATGCATGCTTTTGCCCTAGGTCCATGCTCTTCCCTAGGGACATACACTTTTTCTCTAGGTCTACATCCTTTCCTAGAGATGTATGCTTTTTCCCTAGGCCTGTGCTCTTTTCTAGGGGACCTATGGTTTTTCTCTAGGTCTATGTGCTTTCCTAGAGATCTGTGCTCTTTCTCTAGATCTGTGCCCTTTTGCTAGGGGTCGACTGAGCAGGCTACGCTATTACTGAGGCTCGTTATTATTAGCATATTTACAACAGCAGGGAGAGGAAAGTTCTACGCTGCAGTAGCTTTTGAGGCATGCAATTATTAGCCCATTTGCAGTCTCAGAGAGAAGAGAGTGGTGGTGGCTGCAGTAGCTGGTCGAGGCTCTTGATTAGTAGCATATTTACAGTATCAGAGAGGAGGGTTCTAGGCTGCAATGTGTATTGAGACTCACGATGGCTAGCATGTTTGCAGTGAGAGAGGGGCACGGCTTGTGATTATTATCATTCTGTGTCCAGAGACTGTTCAGTCATGCGTGCTGGGAACAACTTATCCATAGTGCTCAGAGAACGGTACGCCAAAATCCTCTTGTAGGCCATCAGCAAGGCTGTCAGAAGACCTCACAAGACTATAAAAGGAATGAAACAGTATCAGTATCTGTCTTTCCTTTTCCTTTCCAAGAAGCAGGGGTATTCACCATGATTAAATTGTTGGGGCTTTGTAGGAGGTTAAGAACTTAACAAAGGGACTTATCTTTGTCACACAAGACAGGCTGTCAGGAAAGATTCCCCAGAGAAGCTCTTCTGCTAAGATGTTCACCCACCTGTATTCTGGGTGTTACAAGCCAAATGCAGCACAGTGCTGTCCAAGAGAGCAAGGAATAGGGCTTTAATATTTTCAGCTAGAGGCACTTGTTTCTGGGATATCTCATCCCTTGTATGTGGTTGTGGCAGAGGAAATAGGATGGGAGTGCCACATATGAATTCCCTGCTGCTTGGCCCTGCTCCAGATTGCGAGTGAAATATTGTTTCCTAGCCGTGGCTATGGACAGTCTGTTTGCAATGGGTGGCACGTTTGTGCCTTCCCTCTCCTGTTTGTCAGCGAGTTTTCCAGTGCCCTTAAACTGAGATGGGTATTGAGAGGATAAGCGCGTTTAGTATCCAAGGGGTCAGGTAGGGATGTGGGACAGCAGATAACCTTCACTGATAAAGAGCCTCATATTCAGCTGTCTATAAAATTGAACACAGATGTCCTGAGTTCCAGGCTGTGCCTGAACCGCAAGACTAAAGGGAGGAGAGAGTATATGTTTATTTGAGCCCCTTGTTACGTTGCTGGCAACGTATTGCTAGTTTCCATTCCTATTTTTTGTTCTCTTAGCAATCCATTTGCTATTGCCCTTTTCTTCCTCACTCAGCCAGTAATCAACACACTCCAAAACACAATGGAATCCTTTTTGTGGTGAATCCCCTACTTGATGCAAACATTTGCTGGCCTCGTTTTTTTGGGATACGTTTCAATGGGAAGAAGAGGGGAAAGTATTCCTTGTTCCTAGTGAAAAATTGCACTGGCAGCCTGGGTTATTTTGTCGGACGTGTGGCTTTAAGTGACGCCTTTGCCATCTGTTCTGTCTGCTAATTACGAATGCAAAACAAACGTAGCCCACAATTGCTTCATTTAGAATAAGGGAGATGGCAGTGACCAAAATAGTTTTATTTTGTTGTCAGATGCTCTTTTTATTTCTCCTGTCTCTTCCGAATCTAAAGCAGGTCTGAAGCACTTCTCGCTCTTCCAGTTTCTAGCAAGAGACGTTGCCG